AGCAGTGCTACACGTACAAATCGGGCCACTGCGCTGGAGACCTGCACTTCCCATCACCAACATCAAAGGGCTTGACTTGATCTTCGGGCGAGACTTGCTGAAAAGATTCAACCCCGAGATTAACAGGATGAACCGCACCGCAAGCATCTACAACACTGGACGGAGAGTACAGCTACCCAACTGGGACGATACAGGAGATATCCCAGTGGAGACACTCGCACGATTCGAGAAGGACGTGAAGCGAACCGACACCGGGTTCCTGGCGATAGCAACAGAGGTGGAGAACGATGGAGAAAATACCTCGGAACCTCCGGGAAAGATCAAGAAATTATTGAAGGAGTTCCAAGACATTCTTCCTAACGATCTTCCGAACGAGCTACCGCCATACCGAACGCATCAACACGAGATCATGGAGGAACCGGGTTCGAAGCCGACCTTCCGAGCACCATATCGGCTAAGCCGTACGGAGCTGACCGACATGAAAAAAGAGATCGAGTATCTCCTAGCCAAAGGACTCATCCGACCATCCACTTCGCCATACGGTGCCCAGTACTCTTCACACCGAAACCGGACGGAAGCCTGCGCATGTGCATCGACTACCGAGCTCTTTACAAGCAGACAATAAAAAATAAATATCCTATACTGCGAATCGATGACCAGCTTGACCAACTTCGGGGAGCTACGGTATTTTCCAAACTAGATCTGCGGTCCGGATACTGGCCGATACGGATGGCGGACAACTCTATCCATAAAACAGCTTTCCGAACTCGGTATGGATCGTACGAGTATTTGGTAATGCCGTTTGGACTCACCAACGCACCAGCAACGTTCCAAGCCGAAATAAACCACATTCTACGACCTGGATGACATCCTCATCTGCTCGCGCGACATGAAGCAGCACATCGAACACCTGCGACGCGTCTTCGAAATTCTTCGACGAGAACAGTTCTACGTCAAATTGTCCAAGAGCGAATTCGCCCTTGAGAATGTCTAGTTCCTAGGACACATAGTGAGCGCTCAAGGAGTTCACGTCGACCCCAAGAAAATCGAAGCTGTACGTATGTGGAAGACACCCAAGAACATGAAGGAGTTGCAGCAGTTCCTAGGCTTCGCTAATTACTACAACAAGTTCGTGCCACAGTATGCGAAACTCGCAGCACCACTCACGAATCTGCTGAAAAAGAACACACCCTACAAATGGGAGCCAAAGCACCAGAAAGCCGTGGAGCAGCTGAAACAAGCACAAGCATCGTGTACAAGCCCGGCCACAAAAACAAAGCAAACACCCTCAGCTGGCCTGCACACGTTGCCGCTATTCAGATCGAAGGGATGAATCCACTCCTCAAGGGACTCTTCACACACGGGTACGCCATCGACCCCAAAATTCCCTTGGCAGAAAAACGACATCTGCTATAGTGGGACAGTGACATCGCGTACCGGAAAGGATCAACGAAAATCTGGGTACCCAATTACCCTCCTTTGCGCCAGTTACTACTCGAAGAATACCACGACGTCCTATACGCCGGACACTTCGGTAGCAACAAAATGCTCACCGGTATCGCCAAACACTACTACTGGCCCCACTTGGCAGAGGATGTTCAGAAGTTTGTCACCTCGTGTGATCCATGTCAGCGGATGAAGAGCAGTAAGCAGAAAAAGGCGGGACTACTACAGCCTCTTCCTGACCCAGAACAGCCATGGCAAATGGTTAGCCTGGACTTCATCACCGGGTTACCACCTACAACCAGCGGTCATGACGCAATCCTTGTCGTCCTCGACAAGTTCTCCAAAAGGGGACACTTCATCCCGACACACACGACGGCGCGTACCGAGGAGACAGCACAACTCTTCGTTCGTTACATCATCTCACAGCATGGCATTCCAACCACACTCATCTCCGACCGAGACCCCAAGTTTACCAGCAAGTTCTAGAAGGAACTTATGTCTCTACTCGGGACCAAACTCGCCATGTCATCCGCCTACCATCCGCAGACAGACAGACAGACCGAGCGCCTCAACCAAATTGTTGAGCAACTCCTCCGAGCAGCCTGCAGGGACGAGATCTCCAAATGGGACCTGCACTTGACCGTTCTAGAGTTTGCTTACAACAACGCTACACATGCCGCTACTGGACAGACGCCGTTCTTCCTCTACTACGGATGCCACCCACTCACACCACAGAAACCGACCACATCCGCTACAGTCCAACCTGCACATGATTTCATCACAACCATGCATCAGCTTTGGGATCGGACCCACCAGCGCCTCCTCGCCATTCAACAGCAACAGAAGCGCCAGGCCGATCGCCATCGCAACGACCACACCATCACGGTGGGAGACCAGGTGCTTCTTGACACCCGCAACCTAGACCTCAGCCACCTCCCATCTAAACTACGACCTTGCTTCTGCGGGCCTTTCCTAATTGAAGCACAAGTCACTCCTGTTACCTTCTGCTTACGCCTGCTAGCTACCTGGAAGATTCACAACGCCTTCCATGTCCAACTTTTGAAGCCCTATCGTGATCCGAACACGATCTTCGTCGGACGCCAACCACCGCCGCCGCCGCACGTCCTCGTCCAGAATGAACCCGAGTACGAGGTCGAGTCCGTGCTTGCACACCGCCGTCGTCGGAATGGCGCCGTGGAGCTTCTCATCCGTTGGAAAGGTTATGATCCTTCTGAGGACGGCTGGGTACTTGAGACCGACATGGGTAACGCCCGTCGTCCTCTGCATGACTACCTTGTCAAGCAAGGTGTTACTTCTATCACCCAGCTTTGAGGGGGGGAAGTGTGAGAGTACGACCCCGTTACACCACTTGTTCCTTCTTCTCTTTCCTTCTTATTTTCATTTCTCATTTTATCTCATCTCATTTGGTTTCCTATTCCCCATTTTCCAATAACATTTGGTTTATCCTGCTATTATAATTATATCACCGACCAAGCTTGGGATGTACTGGTGCGCTATCTGGCGTAATCGAGCCGTAATCCCTTAAAGCCAATAGCCTCGCGTGGCTATACGAAGGGTGATTCTATCTTCGAAAAGGGTCTATTCCCTTAGGATAAGATAAACCTGGTTACCTGATGTACTTTGGAAGTATAAAAGCGCCTTGTACTGATCGATAGTGAAACCTTTCCTCGAGACATTCGATCCTGTGACACCCTTATTCGTCCGGGTCCGGTCGATTGCAGCAATCGGGATCATGACCCGGTGGGGACTGTGTGGCTCGGGCGAAGAAGCCTGCCTGTCAGTAAGGGGCCCGGTACTTACTGACGCGACCCATTTCCCGGTCGCTCCTCCGGCTTCTTCCCCATAGAATTCTGGATGGCTAGGAGCTCTTGGCAGTTGCGTTTGATGTGACCCGGTCGGCCACAGTGGTAGCATAGCCCCGTATTGCACGGAGCAACTGCTTAAATATCCATTGCGTCCATCCCTTTTATCGTGGCGCGCTGGTACTGTTCTCGAGGGCGACCTCCGTCGTAGAAGTTCGTCCTCGGCTTCGTGAGCGAATCAGCGGCTTCGGCGAGTTGGATGAAGTCTTGTAACCGCTTCGCAGGTCGTTGTAATTTTATTTGGTACTGTATTTCAGGCTTCAGCCCGCCCATGTACCTGTCGACCTTCTCCAACTCGTACATGTAGCCGCATCGATCCACCAACGTCAAGAATGACGCGGTGTAGTCGGACACAGATCCCAGCTGCTTCCACATGCGTAAAGTCTCGTGCGCTTTGTCTGAGTCACGAGCATGCTCAAATCGCTTGCGAAGCTCTGCGCACCACGTTGCCCACGTGCGAATGTGAGTTGCACCAAACAGCAAATCTGCCTCGTCTTCGTCGCCGAATTCTTCGGACCACTCATGCTGTCCTTCCGTGCGAGTTGCCGCTGAGTCGACGATGACCTTCCACCACTGTAGGGCAGCCCCTTGCAGCAGTGTCAACGCATGGTTGATCCGCTTCTGATCGTCTGGGATGCCCGCCGCGTTAAAATAGATATTCATGGCGAATATACACTGCCGCATCGTCACGCCTTTATTAGCTGGGTCTAAAAGAGCGGGTTGCTGATATCTCACACTGCCACTTGTCGATCGCGGGGCTGTTGTCGCTAGTCGTGCCAGCTCCACTGGCGTTGGTTGCTGCTCACCCGCCTCGCTTCCTGCATCGTCGCCCGGCTCCTCTGAACGCCTTTCCTGCGCCTGGCGAAGTCGTTGGTTTTCGTCGCGGAGGTTGTTGACGACGCTTGTCAAATTGTTCCATTAATGCTTGCAGGTCTACTGTTTCCCGGACAGAGTTCGCAGCAGTCGAGGTCGTCTGTTCCTCAACCGTCGAGTCTACCGGGGCCATGGCGGTCAGGACGGGTCAGAAACTAGCGCACACGCTGTAGTTGTTGCCGTAAAAATATTTACGATCGAAGAAAACTGCTGTGCAGCCGTGTTAATCCCCTCTAACCACCCTTAAATAATTAAACGGGAAAACGGAAGGTTCCTGGAAAGTTTGGGCTCTGATACCAGCTGTTATGATTTAGAAGATGTCAATGTACTAAAACGTGAGAATACAAGGTCGCTATTGCAATGAAAGCACGAGGTTCTATAGGAATAGACGTACTAGGGCGATAACCTCGGGACGTGAGTAGGTTCGGCAATGTGGCGACAGTATCGGACGCGACTCGGGAAAGGGTTGGGCCGAAAATGAAGGCCGAACGTGACGAATCGAGATGTTCGGGTGTACGCGGTAGCGGTCGACGCAGTAAGGAATGGCAATTCATTACACTATGGGGCTGTTTTGTAACTTTGTTGCTGATTGGACCGCTCTCTGTCAGTTCTGGCTTGGGGATTTGCAAGGAACGGATGAACCAGATAACACCAGCCGAAGGACTTGTCGAACAAGAAACACCAACCTGCGCTCCACTGTACCGCGCACAAGTTATAATTAACCGTACTGCAACACAAATCCAATAGAACTTCTGCATTCTAATCTCGTTCCCCCACTTGGTTTTGCTTCCCATCCCAACCAAAAGCTCTCCCCAAACCAACACCATTCCCAATGGCGTCTCGCCTTCCTCCCTCCCTTCGCAGACAAGAAAATAGCTTTCCCCACCGCTCACCTTCTTTCGAGTAGCCTCGCGTCGCGTGCGTCGACTCGCTCTGTCAGCTTTCAACATTGTAGTCGTGCCCGACCTTGTCCCCTTCGCTCGGTGGTCATAGTTGAGCTTGAAAGTTCCAGTCGAACTGCCTTTATTTTAGCTGCTGTTATGGGTGACACGATAGGGTTCTCCTCGAGCATGTTCCCCCCAGGTTCCAGCTAGCTTGTATCCAGCTGCTCCCATCTAGTTTCACTCTAGCTCCGGCGACCTTAGAACGAGAACAAGACCAGCGGCCTGGGGATTGGAGAGCCGTCGTCCTCATACACGTTCTTCAAGACTCTACGCGCACGACTCGTATCTCTGCGCATGCAGTCGATGCCCTGAACGAATGAGTGAGTTTTGAGTCGACTCAAAAGGAAAAAGTCGGCCTCTTTTATCTTCCCAGTGACATTGCAGAGGACTGTTTGCAGTTGCTGCGTTGGCTTCCACTCCACGCCTTTCTCTTACCCTCGCGGATTCCCTGCAAACGGCGAGTCATCTTTCTGTTGACATTGCCGTGCTTCACATGCTACGTACCTTTCTCAGTGCTCCTCCCGCCCGTTTCCTTGTTGCAACGGCGACAGGCGACCAACGGTCTGCAGCGGCAGAGGAGGCCACTAATCCCGTGACGCGCCCACAACCCGCCGCTGTCGCACCTTCATCAGCCGCTTCCGCCGCTTCCGCTGTTTCCGCTGCTTCCGCGGCTTCCGCTGCATCCTCCGCTTCCGCTGCTGCTGCGGGCGCGATGCCGGGGCCCATCGCGCTGGCGCAGAGCGGGATCGACGTGGAGGGGCTGACGGCGGAGCAGGTGCGCCTGCTGGCCATCGACATGCGCGACGCCGCGCTCGCGGCGGGCGCAGAGGACGACGCGGAGCAGGCGGACCGCGCGCTGGCGTCGTTCGTCAAGAGTAGCACGCTTGAAGCCGCCAGCCTGCTGGCCAACAGACGGACCACGTCAGGGGTGGGGATAGTAGGCGGAGGGGGGAGGGCAGGCGGAACGGGTGACGGAGCAGCAGCCGCAGCAGCAGCAGCAGCAGCTGTGGCCGACCCTGCATTACCCATTCCAGCAACAAGCCCATCCGTGAGGCCTGCAGCTGCTGCTGCCGATGCTGCCGCTGCCTCTGCAGCTGGTGTTCCATCACCCTCCCCCTCGCCCTCCCCTTCCAAGCCTGCAGCAACCAGGGCACTTGGCAAATCTGCGTCTGCTCGTGGCAGCAGCAGCGCCAACACAAGTAGCGCCAACAGCGCCGGCAACGCCAGCAGCGGCAGCAGTGCGAGCGGTAGTAGCAGCGCGTGTGGGGGCGGCAGTGGGTCGTTCAGAGAGAGAATGGGCCTCAGCGGGCTGCAGATTGCCGTGCCGGCTGACGACGCCCTTGCTGCCGCCGCCGCTGCTGCTGCTGCTGCTGCTGGTGCTACAGCTGGTGCCGGTGCGGACGCAGTGGTCGGCAGAGTGGTATCGCCTGGTGGCGGCGCTGCTCGAGGTGGGAGCAGTGGCACGGGCACGGCAGCAGTAGGTGTAGGCACAGGCGCAGGCGCAGGCGCAACAGCCTCCTTGCACGGTCTCCCCTGCTACATTCACTTCGCCAATCACCGTGTGAGTGGCTCTGACTGACCGACTCAGGCTCACCTACTGGAAGCAACCCTTCCACTCAACCACACTCCTGAGTTCCCTACAGCTAAGCTTGATTGTACCCGCCTCCCCCCACCTTCCCCCCCCCACCCTGCATCTCACGCTTTTATCGTTTTTCACCTCCCGTTTCTGCTACAGAATCCCTCTTCTTCTGTGCCTTCCCCTCTCTCCCTCGTCCACTCCCCCCTCTCCTCCTCCCTCTCCCCTCTCCCCTCTTCCCTGTCCCTTCTCCCCTCTCCCCTCTCCCCTCTCCCCCACGCATGACCCCCCAACAACAGGTAGCGGCCACCATAACGCTGTCCGCGGCGTGCATAGACTTTGGCATCGCGCCCTTCCAGATCCGCCGCACCAACTTTGTCGACCTCTGGCGCGTCCCTGAACGCCCCGTGCTCGTCACCACGCCACGCACCCCCAAGACCCGCGCTGCCGCTGCAGCAGGTGGTGGTGGTAGGGGTGCGGGTGAGCGCGGGAGTAAATCGGCTTCCTCTACTCCCCGCACCCCAAGCAAGAATGTGTTTTCGAGTAAGGTCACTCCGGGGTCAACGCAGCCAGCAACAGGTGCTGCTTCTGTTGCAGCAGCAGCAGCAGGAGGAGGAGGCGGAGGAGGGGGAGGAGCAGAAGAGAGAGGGGCATCATTAGTGGCAGCAACAGCAGCGGGTGTAAAATGTGATGAAGGGCCACATGCTTCTTCGGATCACAGTCGCAGTGCTGCCGATGCTGCTTTGGATGCTGGTGATGCTGCTGCTGCTGTAGCTGAGGGTGGTGGCGGTGTCATGGTGCCGTGTGCTCCTGTTGTGGTGCAACCACGCTATTCCACTGTCATCTCCCCGGAAGGATCACCCCGTGCTGCAGCAGCGTCCAAGCACAAGCCACAGCAGCAGCAGGAAGCGCATTCTAGCGCAGAAGGAAACGAAGCCGCTGAAGTGGACCCTTTGCTGGGTGGGGCTCCCAAACACCCTGCAGAAAAGCAAGGCATGGAGCAGCAACAACTGCAGCAGCAGCAGCAGCAGCAGCAGCAGGCGCAGGAAGTGAAGCAGTCGAGTGTGCAGCTGAGTGTGGAGGACGTGGCAGCAGTGGAGCTCGGGTTGGAGACATGGGAGGTGGTGCTCTTGGAGAGGGAAGAGGAGAAGAAACAGATAGCCGCTGCAGCAGCAGCACTGGCAGAAGCAGCAGCAGCAGCGGGGGGCGGTGGTTCTGTGCGTGAGAAGGAGAAGGCACGGGAGGTGGAGGAGGGCAGCAGGGATGGCTGCATGACCCCTACTGATGCGCGCAAGCAGACCAGAAGCTTTCAGTTTGAGACCTCTATAGCAGGGTGCGTGCCTGCCTGGCCACTGCTGACAATGGCATATACAAGCCGTCACCTATTGCTTCTGCTGGTGCCTCATTCGTCCGTAACCCGGACCTTGCTTGTTCTCTGTGCTCTGCCTTTCGTGTTTGCCTCTGCACCCCCTTCTTTATCCTAAGTCGAGAGCTCCTGTGCCAATCCGTTGCAGGGGCGTCTGAATTCTCGATCTCGATTCTCAATTCCTCCAAAGCAATGCTCGCTTTCTTCCTACTTGCTCCTCTTCCTCCCCTTCCTCCCCTTCCTCCCATTCCTCCCCTTGCTCCTCTTCTTCCCTCCCCCCACAGCTATGACGCCATTCGAGCCATTGTGGATGGGTGGACACAGGGAGCAGAGGACCCAGCAGCAGCCGCTGCAGCACAGGCAGCCGAACTCAGCGACATTCGCACTGCTTTCGCGGTAGGTGCTGCCGGTGGTAAGGATGCTGCGGCTTTCAGTCCCCGCAACGCACTGACAGGTCCCGGGAGGCACAGCATCAGTTGCGACGGCGACACCTCTTCCCTCTTCTCGGACTACACACACGACTCCGACGAGCGGCTGCGTCTGCTCACCAACCCCTTCCACTCCACCGCCCTCTCGCCAGCCACAGACCGCCCGACTGCTGCTTCCAGTGCGGCTCAATCAGAAGCAGCAGCTGGCTCTTCTGCCCCAGGTGCTTCCGCTGCCCACGCTGGCATGGCTCCAAGTATCGGCTTAGCCCCAGGGGATGTCTCGGCAGCAGGGCTGGTGTCGGGCGTTTCCTCCTGGTCGTCTGCGCTGCGCAGCGTTGTCCCGCGCAGCCGAACGTCCTTTGATGCTACCTATATGCGCATGGAGCCCCTAGCGGCTGGGGGGACTGCAGGGGCTGTGGGAGCAGGGATTGGAGGCGATGGGGGCGGTAGGCCGCGCTCCGCTGCTTCTGCTGCAGCGGCTGGGTTTGGGCGAAGCAGCAGCGTTACAGGCCCTGCAGAGAAGAAGGCTTAGGGATGGAGGCACGCTCTCCGCTCCTCCCGTGCTCATTCTTGCTGGGCGTTTGAAACTATCTCCCCTTTCCTCCTTGCTGGGCCTTTGAACCCATCCCCTTTCTCCTTTCCTCTGCATCAACCCTTCCCCCCTTCACCTCCATCACTCTCCCTTGCTCTCTCTCTCGCTTCTCGCTCCGTCCCCTCTAACACACTCACACACACGAGCGTACGCACACGCACACACACACACACGCATACACACTTTCAGTTCTATGCGTGATGTCCTGTTTGCTGACTCGGTTGTAGTATCTTTGATGCATGCGAGACAGCACATCCATGCTACGCTTGTGGTCCCTACAAACTGGTCAGACAAGTGAACGTGCAAGAAGTGGATCTGGCTGGGTGGAGTGGAGTGGACGCATGAGCACTACAACAACACCCCCCTTGAGTGTGAGTCGCCGGTCGGTGGTGTTCGGTGGCGGCAGATCGGGGGTACTCCTGGGCGTCCTCAACGCTCTGATCCAAACACTCTGGTGGACGTGACCGGCACCAGGGAGGGGTTGAGATGGCAGGCAAGAGGGAGGGAGTGCAGTACAGGTACAGTAGGGAAATACGTTTTGTACGGTTGGCTGTCTTGGCTGTGTTTTGCTTTCCCAATTTTGAGCGATGCATACTGACAAATACTAAAGAGTCAAAGGCCTTTCCCCTCCCATAGTTTCCTTGAATTACTTCCTCATTTTTCACTGTACTTGTTTCCAGTAAGTTTAGTGAAGTCGCACATGTATCTGTTCATGCATCTGTTCATGTATTTGTTCACGTAGTAGCGAAGAAACCAGAACCGATGCTTTTGTCACCCTCCCTCGCACCCTGTTGGGTTTGTCTACCCTGCGGGATCAAGGAATTGTCTTGGGAAAATTTCTGCCGCGGACTGTCCACGAAACTTTTCATACTTTCGTGGACAAGCCCTACTTTCATGGACACCACATCGAAGTTTTGCTTCTCCTGTAGACTCCGTCAATACTTTCGTGGACTCCCGGCTTACTTCCATGGACACACCCATATTCGCAGTTAAAAAGGAGTATTCAGCAATGTACAAGTGATTACGGGCACAAAAATCGAGATACTCCAGAATATCTGTCCGTCGCAAGTAATCGCGAGCTACAGTGTCGGAAACCAGTTCTGAAACAGAATCTCGGAGCTTTTCTGGGAAGAGTTTGCAGCCGCACTCAAATATGCAGTGAATGTTCAAAAACAGGGTGTATTAGGGTCCGCGTGGTAAAAACACTTATTATTCAACTCAGAGCTACCCAACAAAACATAATATGCACGTGCTTGACGAGCCAGCATCAACCAGCAGTTGTTTTCTCCTCCATAATAAATAATTTCATTATTAGTAATTCTGTGAAAAAAAACACCTAAGAAATATATTTTTTAGAATCATTTGTTTTTATTTGCATTAGTATGTTTCTCGTTCAAACATAAAAAAAATATTCCCAAAAACGTGAATGTAAAATAGTTGTATCATTTTCTCATCTATTATTATTTTACTAAGTACCGAAATTTTAATAATAATACAATCAAGACGTGAAACCTTCCATTTATATAGTCATGTTCACCAAACGTTATTGGTATTCTGAGATTTCACATCTTAGTTGAAAATGCAAGCCAATTACTAGTTGAAATATTTGTAAATGCCAGAATTCATGGTATTCCTGATTCTTGGTAGGCAGAGATTTTTAATGAGCTCTATTAATCTTGTAAGCGTAATATCTATCTTTATTCTACAACGTGATTTTTTTGTAGCGATACTTCACCAGGTCGGTCTGCTACACTTATCGTTCAACGAAAAGCGCTTCGTGACAGTCATTCAAATGAATTTTGAGGATCGCTTCAGAGTTTCTATAAACACGCGAAACAGCTAGCGGACTTGGTGGCTTGAAAATACTGTAGCTTGCGACTATTTGCGAGGGACTTGATTACGCCTAATTCTGCTTTTTTTCTCCTGTCAGCATCTGTACAGTTCTGTATGTTTTTTTTGTTTCAAACTCGCGTGTGTCCATGGAAGTAAGCCTGGAGTCTACGAAAGTATTGACGGAGTCCACGGGAGATGTGAAAGTTCGATGTGGTGTCCATGAAAGTAGGGCCTGTCCACGGAAGTATGAAAAGTTTCGTGGACAGTCCGCGGCAGCAATTTTCCCAATTGTCTTCTGTGCTGCAAGAAACTAGTTCTTAGTGCTACCTTGGCTCTTCGTGGCAAACTATGTCGGACCCGGCGCGACGTAGCTCGGAGGTTCTAAGCTCTTGATGTCTTGGATGGAGGGTCCTAGATTGGAGGATCTGAGACCAGAGGATCTAAGGCTGGAGGATCTTAGACCGGAGGATCTTAGGCCGGACGATCTTAGACCGGACGACCTTAGGCCGGACGATCTTAGGCCGGACGATCCTAGTTCATTATGCTGTATTGTTGATAAGAAGGCACCTTAGCGTGCCTTTTTACACGGCCGATTTGCGTGGTTAGCCCGATTGAATGCGAATGGATAGGCCAGGTTAGAGCTTCTTGCGTCCTTATCATTGTGAACCTGGACAGCGGATTAGAGAGCCCTTTTGTAAATCGGGACAGCGGCTTACGGCCCCAGAGGAGAGAGCAGGTGCATCGACGCAGCAGGTGAGACGAGACGACGCAACAGGTTAGTGCAGCTGGAAGCGTGCGGCGGACGATCCGTTGTTTGGCGGCCACGAGTTGGAGCTTCCCCCTAGCCGCTGCCCGCTGGGCGCTGCCCGCGGTCCGCTGCCCGCTGCCCGCTTCCCGCTGCCCGCTTCCCTCTGCCCGCTGCCCGCTGACCACTGCCCGCTGCCCGCTGCCCGCTGCCCGCTGCCCGCTGCCCGCTGCCCGCTGCCCGCTGCCCGCTGCCCGCTGCCCGCTTCCCGCTTCCCGCTGCCCGCTTCCCGCTGCCCGCTTCCCGCTGCCCGCTGCCCGCTTCCCGCTGCCCGCTTCCCGCTGCCCGCTTCCCACTGCCCGCTGCCCGCTGCCCGCTTCCCGCTGCCCGCTTCCCTCTGCCCGCTGCCCGCTGCCCGCTGCCCGCTGCCCGCTTCCCGCTGCCCGCTTCCCGCTGCCCGCTTCCCGCTGCCCGCTGCCCGCTTCCCGCTGCCCGCTTCCCGCTTCCCGCTGCCTGCTGCTCGCTTCCCGCTGCCCGCTTCCCGCTGCCCGCTGCCTGCTGCCCTCTGCCCGCTGCCCGCTTCCCTCTGCCCGCTGCCCGCTGCGCGCTGCCCGCTGCCCGCTGCCCGCTGCCCGCTGCCCGCTGCCCGCTTCCCGCTGCCCTCTGCTCGCTGCCCGCTACCCGCTGCCCGCTGCCCGCTTCCCGCTGCCCGCTGCCCGCTGCCCGCTGCCCGCTTCCCGCTGCCCGTTGCCCGCTGCCCGCTACCCGCTGCCCGCTTCACGCTGCCCGCTGCCCGCTGCCCGCTTCACGCTTCCCGCTGCCCGCTGCCCGCTGCCCGCTGCCCGCTGCCCGCTGCCCGCTTCCCGCTGCCCTCTGCCCGCTGCCCGCTGCCCGCTGCCCGCTTACCGCTGCCCGCTGCCCGCTTCTCGCTGCCCGCTGCCCGCTTCCCGCTGCTCGCTGCCCGCTTCCCGCTTCCTACTTCCCGCTGCCCACTTTCCGCTTCCCACTTGCCAGCTTCCCGCCGCTCGCTGCCCGCTGCTTGCCTCCCACTTCCCGTCTCCCGCTGCCCGCTTCCCGCTTCGCGCCCTGACCTCCAGAGCCCTGACTCTGACTGGCAGAGTTCTGACTCTGACCGCCAGAGCTCTGACTCTCACCGCCAGCGCCTCGCAGCACCTCCCAGCACTTCCCAGCACGTCCCAGCACAAGTTGGGATGTGCTAGCGTGATGGGATGTAGTGGGATGTGCTAGCGTGATGGGATGTAGTGGGATGTGCCCAGCACTTCCCACCTGACCCGCATTGGTTTTCTTTGTATGGACCCATCATCTCCGTTGCTCCATCCCTCCTTTTCCCGTGCTTGCTCGTATCCCTCGGGATACGTGCCTTGCTCAGGAAAGAAGTGTCAGTGACCTGCTCTGCTGAGGGGGCTCTATGCTGCCATGGATGGTCAACTGCATGGTGTCAACCTATTGTGATGATTGAAATCCTAGAGGCGCAGCGTGTGGCAGGTGAGTGATGAGGCATGTAAGAAGCTGAAGAATGTATGGAAGTGCCAGCAGTTCAGCAGTGCATGACATGCCCTGCTCAAATTGACCTGCCTGCCTGTCCCAGAAGTCTTGTGCCCACCCATCACCAGAATTACATGCTCGAGTTCTCACTGCTTCCACTATCTGCTTCCTGGTCTACCTGCATCTGCTGCTGTGTCATGCTTGCCTCTGATACACAGCACATTCATGCAGAGAGCTATGTACAGTAGTCAACTTATACATTTGCTGTGCATGTACAGTTATAGGCTAGACAAGTTCGTGCTCTTAGAGAGTACAACCCAAACCCTTCTATCACCATGTATTCTCTTGCTAGAGTTCACTTCGATAAACATCAGAAATTTTTTGTAATGAAAAATTTACAGATTGTGATTCGACTAGAAGAGGAGTTTGCTGGAAAGGAGACAAACTCCTTCATCTATCGGCAGGTCTTTCAGACCTGCCACCTAGTCTCATTTGCATTTTTCTATTCCAACTTGCATACCACCAGCACACTCTAAACATCTCTTATGCCCAGATCTGGGCATAGGAGTCTCTTGCTGCAAGACATTTTTTCTGTTAGATTCTCTACAATGGTCAGCGGACTTATTTCCGCTGCAAGTGGTAGGCCTCCCGCTCCTCGCGTGAATACTAGGAGTGGTGGAAGGCGTGGGTCCCCTGCACGTGAGGGGGACCGAAACTCTTCCTCTCAGCATAGAGAACGCTCTCGTTCTCCTCGTCCTGGCGGAGGTAACGGCGCCGTTACCGCTTTGGATTTGCTGAGTGGCGCGCGTCAAGACCCTGTTCAGCACGTCGAAAACGTGGCGGGGGACGCGGATCGTAACACGTCACGCAATCGCGACTTCCCCCCCGGATTTCAAGGCGAGCGGCGTAACGAGCAGAACCGTGTCGACACGAACCCGCCTGCCGAAAATGCCCCGTCACGCCCCCCACCTACCGAACGCAATCATGACGGTCCTGCGCGCGAGGACCACAATCATGATCGTGATCCTGCGCGCGCAGGGCGTCATCATGAGCGCGATCTCAACGCCCCAGCGCCCCAGATTCGCCAGGATCGTCAGAATCGGGACCGGGATCGCGCAGATCGCCGGACGGATTTTCCCCCTGCTGCAGCGAATCCGCGCGAAAATCCGCAGATCTCGACCCCTGGAGCAGCAGATATCGCCGAAATGATTGCGCGCCTGGATCCTGCAGCCCAGCGCAATCTTCAGCGAATCTTCACAGGATCTGCTGCTGGCGAACGCGTTACAGCACGCTCCACTGCATCCACAGCGCCTCGTTCTGCAGAAAATAATTCTGCTCGCTACACCGACAATAATGTTTACGCCGGCACCAACAATGAGGCCATTCACCACGTTCTTGGTCTTCTTGCGGCGCTCCAGCGTGGCAATGACGCCGATCCAGCACCGCCTCTGGAACCAGCACGCATCGCAGTGGCGGCAGCCCCACGCTCTCGCCTCCCGGCGCCCGCCCCCGAGCCCGTGGACGACGAAATGGACGAGGAAGCACCCCATGCCACGCTCGACGAAGGTAATGCTGCCCGCCCAAAATCCGCTTCTGCAGCGCTCGCCCTTGCTCCTA